ACTCGGAGCCTACTTTCATACAGTAATCTTTAAGAGATACGATGGGAATTATGTGAATTTAGATCATCTGATCAATTACATATAACTGACTCCTTAAAAGAATATATAATTGTCCCTCAGCATTGTCTAGAATTGATTGTGACATCTCTTTGAATAATTCCATTTTTTTTTCCTTTTTCTTGTTGATTTCTGTCCATTTTCATTAACTTGCATGCAGTTATTTTAATATGTAAAATTCAATTTCAAATGTGAAATTTTCCATGGTTTGAACTGCCACTCTTAGCCACCAAAGTGTAGCTTAGGAATGAAAGAATCTATTCAGCCCCAAAGCATTTTCCAATATACATGTTTTAATTCAGTCATTTTCGCACTCCACCAAACGAAGATATTATTCTTTGCTCAAGAAGATGAAAGCAGAAGCTATTGACATTTCTGTAGATTATTGTAGGTTACAGTTGACCCACCAAATGCAATAAATTGGTAAGTTGACTAGTTGATGCTATATTTTTTTCTCACAGGTCAAATTTTAACTTCAGGGATTGACTAAGCTGTTCTCCAAAGGTACCCTGTTTGATTGCACACTATGTGGAATATTTAATTCAGTTTAGAATTGGAAGAAACATAGAGAGATCCAGACACTGTTAAATTATCTTATTTTTTTTCTATGTATGTAGTTTTAGATTAATTTTGGCTCCATTCTGGTTCATGATTTTATTATATATATAAAAAAAAAAAACTCAAAATTATATTGTCCCAACAAATAAAGATATTAAAAACCCAAAATAATTTGAAGTCCATTTTGATTAGAGTCAAGAAAAATAAAAAATGAGCTCAGCAGTTGATTTCTCGTGTCTCTTTGCAGTAACTCATGTACTTAGTTTTCATTTAATGTTATATTAGTACGTGACAAATAAATAAAATCTATTTTAAAATTATTTTCACATTAAATCTTGTTCATATATTATTATATTCTAATTAGTAATATTTTTTTAATAATAAAAAAAGGATACAATTTGATGAATAGAAATTTATTAATTAAAAAAAAAACATTCAAGTCAACTTTTTACTATTACCTCTTGACTATCATAATTATCTATCATAAATTATTCTAAATTTAAAATTACTTATAATTTACATATTTGGTAAACTTTACTAACCTTTGAAATTATATGGAAAATATTGATTGCCTTTACATAATTCCTTAATTGTAGGCTAACTCCTCTAAATCAGCAAGTATTATCTAGCAATTAAAATCATATAAATATAAATATATATTATATATATATTACAACATACATAATTACTAAATAAGATGTATTGATGTGCATGCCTATGTCAATGATTTCTTTTTTGACAAGTAAAAAAAATCTTTAAATTTTTTTTATAATAGCATATAAAATATTTCTTAATTTTAAGCTATTTATAAAAAATATATATTTAAAAATTATTTAATTATCCTAAACTTTTAAATTTAAATGAAAGGTCAATTCAATTATTTTTAAGTTGTTAGCAATAAAATTTAATTTAAATATATTATCTTTTAAAAAATGCATTTCTAAATAATTTAAATATATATCTTTTTGAATTTAAAATTTTTAAATATAATGATATCTCATCTTTTAAAATAGATTTTCTAATAATATAAATATATATTTTTTAAATCTAAAAATCTAAAATGCAATGATATTATAAAATGGATTTCCCAATAATTTAAAAGAATAGAGTAATTACTTATCGTAAATGTGCATTTTCACCAGAAAAACTTCTCTTTAAAACCTTTTTTCGTTTGGATTTATAAACTAGAATTTAAATTGAAAAACTTTATTTTTTAATTATTTAATATTGAGATTGGATTAAAGTAATTCTTAAAAGCAAAATTTAATTTCAATAGTAATACTAAAATAAACGTAAATGTTGTTAGATCAAATCATTGGTTCAAGTCAAACTTGAGGGTTCTCTCACGTGGGCCAAGGTTTGGATAGCTTCTTGCTACCAAATAAGAGGAGATGCATGCATTGAAAGGATTAGCACGCTAGCATTTCAGGTTTGAACTTGAATTAGGTATAGATCTGATTGATAAGGTCAAAAAGGCTGAAAGAAGCTTTTGGTGGGTCAATACTCTGACTATAACACTTGGTTTCTTTTTCTATGTTAGGGGTTTTTTCTTTCTCTCTTTTTGTGTCTACATTTACTGACAAATACAATGGATTTTTTCGAAAACGATCGTCCAGTCTAATTCTAAATTCGAAGTGCAAAAGGTTCAAATTTGCTTTTCCTTTTTTTTTTTTTTTGGATTTGATTGGTGTCGTTGGGCTTTTGGATTAATACCCATGATGCTCTAGCAAATGATGGATCAAATTGGGTTGAGTTTGAGTTGCATCCAAAGATGGTCATTGATGCTTAGGGGAGTCTTAGGTCGCTCCAAAGTTTTGATAACCCTTAATATTTGTATACAGTTTATATATTTAATAAATTAAAGTTTATTGATTCTAAATTAAAGTTTGTAATTTCATTTATTTATTTTTTGATTTCATAAATTAATTTTATAAATTACAATTTAAGAATGGTTAAAATCATATTATTATTTCTCCATTTATTATATCACCAATTACTTCTTATAAATCTTTAAAATTAAGAAATTTATCACAAATTTTAAAAATACAAACAAGAAAAATTAATAAAAATTAAATTAATTTTTTAGCTTTCTAGACAAGACTTTAAAATTTAAATCAAGTACCAAATGCTTTTTTTTTTTTTTGCTTTTTCTTTATATCTTACTACAATTTCTCATGATCTTATAATCTTATACTCAAAATTTCTTTATATCGTATAATTTTTCACTTTTAATTTCATTCTAAATCTTTATTTCATATTGTCCTGCAATATATTTTAACAAAAAAGGTTAAAATCAATTTTGAATTTTTATGTTTCAACTTTATTATTTTAAAAAGTAAATTTTTATTTTTATTTCTATAAAAAGATATTGTTTAAGGATTGATTTATTTGTATTTGTATTTTAATTTTAATATCAATTGGTCCCATCAAAATTAAGTGTCACAATTCACCACTAGTTGAGTCATTCTAAATAAATAAAAAAAAGTCATGTAATTTTCCGGTTAAAATTATTTTGGATTTAAATTATTTTGTATTCTAGTCATTTAAATTTAGGACTCGAATTACTTAAGTTCGGATCATTCATGAGTTCAAATCGTTAACTTTTGAAGTGCAATAAAATTAGATCATGAATGAACTATCGACATAAAATCATATTTCATTAGGTGCAATTAACTTATTCAAAATTACATTTTTATTAATTTGAAGTATATCTTTAATTTTGATTTTTGATATCATAAAAATTTTTATTTATGATATATAATTGTAAAAAAAATAATTTTATTTATGGTGTATAATTGTATAAAAATTGATTTAATTATAATAATAGAAATTTTTTATTTTTAATCTTTTTTACTCATAAGTAAAAGGATACTCATAAATAAGAAAGATAATTTCCAAGGTTTATAAAAAAAATATAAGCAAAAAATTTGAACATACAAAAAGTTATTTAATACTAGTATACTACTAATTTATGTTGTATCTATTATTTTAATTAAATTAAATTTTTAAAAAAATGCTTAATTTAAGTTCAATCATTTTAAGTTAATTTTTCGAATCATTTAAATTTAATTCATCTGATAAAATTGAATTTAAATCGTTTCAAGTTTGAATTATTATGAGTTCAAGTCATTTTTTGGTTTGAATTATATTGAGTATAAATTGATTAGGTTTATTTTTATGATTAAAATTTTTTTTATGTACATCATTTTCATTGATAAAATTAATAAATTTGTGAACAAATATATCTATATATATATATATATATATATAAATGGACATCCCTAAAAAAATCATAAATCCGTCGCTATCACTAAGTAACTATTTAGCCCGGACTTGCATTCCGGGCTTGCTCATTGTGCATTCCATTCATTATTGGCAGTTCCCATATCTTCCATATCATCTTCCATTCATTATGCAGAATCCAACATAAAGTATCTTGAATCCTACCTCGTAAGAACATTTAAACAAACGCAGCTTTTACATGCTATTCTTTCCCTAAATTTAAATTTGTTAGCTCTAGATGGAGAATTCATAACATGATTGAGACAAGTTATCACTGGCTACTTCTAATTTTATGGTTTACCGGCATGATTATAATGCAAATATTTTGAGACAAAAAGAAGAAATCCTTGGTGAGTTCTGCTGCATTCATGTTTCTGATTTTGAGCATATGTGCTGAGTTTGTATTAATTCTGCTGTGGCTGATGTCATATAGGTGATATCCCCTTCAATTTTGTTACCCGCAGTTTGTGTGCAAGAAAGCATCTTTTGGTGAAATCATTACTTTACTAACATATAAGAACTAAATGAACTCTGAAAACTAAGTAGCATAAATCCACTTTGTCATTGCATTTTCATCATCGAATTGATCAACTTCGAGAATTTTTCTGCTCCGATATTTTATAATTTCTCTAATACCAGTTCCAAGTAGACATCTTTCTGAATTAGTGAAGGATAACAAATGACAGAAGCAAAAATACTGAGGATCTAATCTAGAGCTTAACTTGGTTCATATAGTCAACCTTAAGAGTTGACATCCAGCAGGTTTGTGGTTCAATTCCAGTAGCTGCAATCTCTTCTCATGTTCCCAGGCTGGGTCTCATTTTGTACTAAAAAAAAAACTAAGGATCCCTTTGTTATCACTTGCAAAGAATTTCTCAAATAACTATAACCGTAAGGGAAGGATGTAGCACTAATTGCTTGCTTTTATACAAGTTGAAAAAATGATCACCTATCCTTGTGGTTCTGCTTCTGTACAGCATGAAGAGTTTTGCAATTAGGCAATCTCCATGGGTAGAAATGATTCCTGCCTTTTCCCGTCATTCTAGTCAGTCACTATCCATGAGATCAGCAACTGTAATTTTTCCACAATTGCTGTTGTCTAGTGCATCAAATTGGTTGCAGATCTGCAGGATGTCCTTCTCTGCGATCTTTCCCATCTCCTTGAGCTTGTAGATTACAAATTCAGATTTACTGCAACCATTAGAGAATCAAAATGATCTATTACATTCAGTAACCGCCGAAAAATTGGTGTAAATATAGGAACCTGATAATGCAAATGTAAACATCCAAATGGCTATATGATATGACTCCTCAAACAGACAGCAGGGATGTAGTGAGATGATGAGAGAAGGTGGTTATTTCCTTCTGAGTTTGATTGAAACAAATACTTGTAAACATGATAAACTATCAGATTCATGATGATTTAGAAACTTCACACATAGTAGATACTTTCTTAAAGTTCGAATTCAAACCCGTAACTTAACTCAGTTCATGCAGCCATACTTAGAGTGTGGCTTTCTGTGCTCATTACTCATGCTTCATTCCTATATTATACCTCTTATCTATTATCTCTACGTTATAAGCTGTTTACTCTTCATTGGAATCTCTGCCGGGCCACTATGAAACTTAAATGCCTCTGTTACTGATTATATGTCCCATACTCAACCCTAATGTAACCTACTAGGCAACTACTATTAAGAGGGATGGCTGACTTGGTAGAAATTATTTGGCACTGTAATTGGGAACTATGTATGACCAAGTGTGGTACTTATCTTTCAATCTTGGTGCTTCATGAGTAAGGAGGATAAAAATCTGTTGATCATTTTCTTTGACCTTTGTTGCTGGAGAGATTTGAAATGTGTTCCTTTCTAAGAGTGTCATTGAACAACAATTTCATGTCTTTCTTTTGCCCCAAAATATCTGCAAGAATCACTAAGTAAATATTTTGCATGTCCTTCAATTCATCAATGTGTCTTAGAATAATTCTGATTCCTCCTATCTCAAAGTTTTGATTGTTCCTTTATCATGTCAAAGATCAACTAAAGCAAGCAACTAAATGCAGAGTGGCACTTTTATTTTTTAGGTAAAAAGTACACCCTAATCTAAGGATAAAAAAGGAATTACAGACGTTAAAATTTAAATTTTAAATCTAATTGGATGTCACAGGACTAAGCTTTGGATTCAAAATGAAACGTTGAATTCGTTCTTTAAAGTAATTTCATGATTGCTGGTGTAAATGAGCCAATTCTTTCAATTGTTTGTAATATCATCCTGTCTGGTAAAGCAATTATGTATTGAGACCTGAAGGAAAACTATATATCCAGGATATAGGTACAAGAAGTACAATAAATTGTTCAAATAAATAGTGCGAATGTATGGTAAAAGATCATTAGTACCTGATGGATCCATCATTATCGAGGTCTGCTGCAACCAAATCCCCCAGCGTCATCTTCTTCTGAAGAACCCATTTCGCGATTTTTCGATTTCTCTTGTCAATCCTAAGCTCAGTTAGGTATAGGAATGCCCTTGCAACAGCTAATGTACTTACCATTAGCCACAGAATTGCAAAAGACCTCCCTGTTACCGTTGTGAAATTGAAATCACCGTAACCAACAGTTGTCACAGATGTAACAGAGAGATAAAAGCTATTAACCCAGTCCAAGTTTTCCAGAAAATGCGCCGCTACTGTCCCTATAGCGATGCAGCCGATGACTACAACCAGAGCCAGGCACACTTTTATTCTTATTCTCATTCTTCCTTTTGCTTTATCTATCATATATGTTTGAACCATCGTGTTGAATTGATTCTCATCGACTGTGCTCAAAAGGACTGACTCTTGTCTATCACAAATGTAAGTAACCAACCCATTAAGCAAAATATCAATGAATCCGAAACCAATCAATATAAAGAAACAGGTGAGAAGCTTTGTAAATGTTGTGTCTGGGACAATATCCCCATAGCCAATCGTGCATAGAGTAACCACAATGAAGTACAAGGCATCTACAGGCTTGAAAGTTTCAGTGCCCTTGAAACTTCCATTGGTCATGAATATCAAAACACCAGTTATTACGTATAAAATCAGCCAAATGAAGGCTTGGCGGACGATGAAAGGAGTTGATTTTGAGTCCGGTTTTGTGTCTTCGGAACCTTGAAATGCTTCCCTAACATCAGTGAAAACTGATGGAGCAGAATGCGAGCGACGAGTGATTTTTCTTTTCTTGTTCAAGTTGGCAATGAGGTTAACATAGGAGGAAGATTTTGGTGTTGTGATGATGGGGATAATGGCATCATTGGTGATGAGATGTGCCGTGGATTGGCGTCGTGACTGGCCAAGATCAAGGTACCCGGGTGAGATCCTTATCGATGATGACCGTCTGCTGCACTCTTCTTCTGGCCCTGTCTTGGGAAGAAAAGGTTGATCCATATTTATTGAATTTTCATGACATCAAAAATCAGACTGCGGTTTTTAGGGTAATGGTGACAATTCGCTTGTCCCGGACACATGGAGCGGAAGTCCTGAAAGAGAAAACTGAAACTACCAGTCAAACCATTAATGTAGGAGAAGTTTGGTTTTGTTGGTGGTTCATCTAACAGTCGCACGGGCGAAAGTATGACCACAGATAACTAACCACTCTGAGTCAGAATTGGTTAAAATTTCGCATGAAAGCTCCAATAGTTCCTGCCTTCCTGGACTGGTGACTGGTGTAAGCTTTTGCCATAAAAGAAATGGGCAAGTTGTTGGTTCTATGAATATTTATGGTAGGGTTTAAGATTTAGTGATATGTCCATCGGAAATGCTATTCTACTAGACCAAGGTATGCAATTAGTGGAAGTTATGATAAAAGGGTTTAGGTTTCGAAAGAGATATGACATTACGAGGTATTTATAGAAGTGCCATACTATTAAATTTCATACGGGAGGTAACTCTTATTTCACATAATGGTTGTAGACCCCCCAAAAAAGGCATGCATAAAAATAAATGCTAAAGAAATTTCAACAAAATTGTCAAAAACTTGGTATAATTGGCGTTACTATTAAACCAACCAAATCGGGTTGGTTGTAAGGTTTTCTTATACAGTAGAAGTATGCGTATAATGCTCTTTGGTAGGAGCATTTTATGGTCAATAAATGTATAATTATCTTTTATTACAAGAAATGACTCATAGTTGGCTTAAGGCTATTTTAATCATTTAGTTTGAGCTGACGTGATAAACCGATCTGATTTTTTTTAAGCACACTTCACTAATACCAATTTGGCAGGTCACCAAGCTTTCATATATACATAACCCCTCACTCTTTCTAGATGAAGAGGCCATTCATTTTTTCATAATTCTATCATTTATTAATTTATTTTTTTATCTTTTTGATAATTTTATAAAAAAGAGTTTGTAGAAATTTAATTTTATTCGAAACAATTTAATATTGTTTATCTAAGCTCATTTTAGGAGTCGGTTTGAAGCTTATAAGAAAGTCATTTAAAAATACAAGGTATGAGCCCAAAATGGCTCAAGAAGAATTTGAATCCAAATTGGCCATTAAAAATAACCCAAATGATAAAAGCCAACCAAAAAAATTGGCCCAAAAAATAGTGATGGCACAATTAAGAAAAGAAAGTAAAAGACAAAGGTTATGAATTTGGCTTGAAAGTTGACCAAATAAAAAGCCCAACTATTTTCTTTGCAAACAAAAAAAGAGAAAGCTCAAAATCAAACCAAAAAGAAAAAAGAAAGAGCATGTTTTCTCTACATAAAGAGCATGGAACATGAAAAGGGCTAGGAGAGCCCAACTCAACCTAGTCATTTTATCATCACGAAAAGTCTACATGCATAGAAGACAATCTAATGGAATAAAAGTCGGTGGCACCAACACAAAACCAACCTACTGCAGACAAAAACATAGTTAGTAGCCTTTGGGCATAAAAGAGAGAAAAAGAGAATAGAAAATGGGAGACAACAAAGAAAGAAAAAAAAAGTTTAGGAGGAAATCAAGAATAGAAAAAGAACCCTTGGGAGGCCACTAAGAGAGGAGAAAAATACCAAATAAACAAAAACATAAAAAAGAAAGAAACTGAAAGCAAGAAGGAGGTTCAAGATCAACCATAAATAGAAAAATTAAGGAGTTTTTATCTTTTTCTTTGGAACGAAGCTATAAATCACAATGGAAAGGTAACTTTCCCTCGATCTTTTTCAGTGGATGCCTTTTTTTCGTTATTTTCCTTCATCTCATTTTGAATAGCCTCTTCCTGCTTTTGATGTATTGTGTGTTGCCATAAGGTTCATTTTTGTTCACCTAATTCTAATTTTTGTAAAAAATGGATGCTCTTTTTTTTTTCCATCTTTCTCTACATGAAAGATGCAAGTTTTATCTCAAATAATTACATGTGGATGAAAAAAAAGAAGGTACATGGACTTCGCAACTTCATTTTTGTCGGTTTAATGTTATTTTAGGTTTTAAGAGAAGTTTTTTTTTTTAAATAGTGAAATGGCCTCCAAAATAAAGAAGAAAATGTAAGGAGGTTTTCTCAAGAGTTTGTCTTTTTCTGTTCTAGCATGCATAAGGTTTGCAGAGGCTTAAGGCCATAAGAGTTTTCTGCCATAAAAGTTTCCTACCTTTTGGTCATTTCATTCTTTTTTTAAGGTAGGTTGTGCATGAGTAGTTGAAAGTTTTCATCTTTACGATTTATGATTTGTTTCTTGCATAAAGTATATGATGTCTGCTGTTTCATTTGTACTTAGAGCCTAAAATGTCAAGTTGTATCAATTACTGGTTTTTATTGCACGTGAGTTAAGATCGTGCCTCATTCTATACATCATTTGTTAAATCCTTTCTATGTGAGGGTTTGAAAGTTCATCTTTTTTTTAAGGTAGCTAATGCTGGTAAGCTTGGTTAGAGTCTTAAGAGTTATGGAATTTTAGGCATTTTTCAAAACAAAAAAATGATGGGGCTTGTAACATCAAGTACTATTATATTATCATACCCCCTTTTCCTCATTATTTTCTAGCATTAAATGGAAAGAAGTGGAAGTACAAAAAGAAAGAAGAAGAAATGTTTAAGAAAGATAAGTGAGGGGAAACCTTTACACATTTTAGGGTTTTTTTTACATAATGATTATTTGTATGTATGGAGAGAGCTTTACCCATTAGCTATTTATTCATATGATGGCCGTTTATAGGAAATGGTAGAAAGTAAAGGTAGGCTTATAATTTCAAAGCTCCCACTTCCCATATTTTTGTTTTAGGTTGTATACAAGAGGGAAAGAAAACTCAAAACTAGACATGATTTCAAGGTTCCTTCATTCGTGTTTCTTAGCTTAGGGTTTATAGGTTAAAAAATTTTATAATACATTTGTCTTTTATGTTTATCTCTTTCATGCTTTTAAGTTCAATTTAAGCTTACTAAAAAAAGAAAAAAAGAAAAGAGTGCCATCATGAAGAAAGCTTAAAGCTTTCATACTTTTTTATCCTATACGGTAAAGAAAGCTTAAAAATGACATGATTTCAAGGTTCCATCATTCATGTTTTATAACTTAGTTTTATAGGTTAATAAATGTTACAGTACATTTGTTTCTTTTATATATTATACGTTTGTTTCTTTTATGCTATTAAATTTAATTTAAACTTAAATCTTATATATTATGATATTTGTGTGATTTGAACTTTCATGTTAAATTTAATTTCATACAATTTATTTTTTTATATTGTAAATTATTTTTTATTCAATTTATTTTCTATGCACACTAGTTTCATGCAAATAATAATAATAATAATAATAATAATAATAATAATAATAATAATATAAAAAATTTAAGGATGAGAGTTTAAGAAAGTTCAAATAGTAATTTATTAAAATATCTATGTGAAATATTTTTCTAAAAAAAATACTATCAAAGTAATATAGTATTTAAGAAAATATTCAATACAAAAGAATTTTATTTATCTATTTTCCTAAAATTATATTAGTTGATGATAAAACAATACGTAACTACTCTTTTAGTAATGAAATTAATATTGTGATTAATTAATTTTATCTTTCACAAAATTTAATTCATTAAAAATAATAATCAAAAGTAAAAATTAGAATTAAAATAAAAGTTAAATGAGAAAGAAAAAAGTAAACAAAATATCTAATAATGAGATTATAAGAAAGTCCAAGTAGAGATTCTTAATAAATACGTAGGTGAGCAAATTCCTTTAAAATATCATTAAAGTATCAGGGTATCTAGAAAAATTTTCAATAAAAGATTTTATTTACTTTGTCCCTTTCAAAATTTTTAATAATGATGATGAAAAATTAAGAGATTAAAACAAAATTAAAATAAGTGACGAAAAGTATAATATAAAGAAAATAAGTAATATATATTTTTAGTGTGCATATTCTACTTAATTGTTTGCATTATATAATTTTGAAAGTATCGTGAGCTTCCAATGATAAGACTTTGAAAAGTCCAAGTAGTAATTTCAAAAATTCCCTAGGTGAAAATTTTTTTTCTAAAAATATTGCCAAAGAATTGAAATATTTAGAATGATTCTCAATATGAAAATTTCCTATTTATTTTCACCTCTAAAAATGAACTTTTCTATGATATAATAAGATTACGAATTAATTCATGTGCATCATATTTCATATATATCAATTATAAACATAAAAGAAATTTTCTATGATAGGACTCCAAGAAGTTCAAGTAATAATTCTTGAGAATTCCTTAAGTGACAAAAGACTTTTAAAAATTATCAAAGTATTGAAATATTTAGCAAATCTTTTTAATACAAAGATTTTTATTTATTTTTTAATTTGAACAATTTTCTTAAAAAGATAAAAAAATTATAAGAGTATGCTTTTTTTTAGGAAATAAATAATTATATTATTACATGACTTTTAAATATTAATAAGTTTTATAAAAGTAAATGAAAAATTTTCCAAAGATAAGATCTTAAAGAAGTCCATAGTGATTGTTTAGGAATCTTTAGGTGAAAAAATCTATTTAGAATGCCGTCAATGTATTGAAGTATTTAGAATAATTTTTAGTAAAGATTTTTTAATTTTTTAGAATAAAAATGTATTTTAAAATATTATAGTTGTTATATTTTATTACATGCATTATAAATATGGATTTTAAAGAGAAATATGAACCGCTGATGATGGAATTTTTTAGAGTTTTGAGTAGTAATTCTTAAAAGATCCTTAAGTGAGAAAGTTCCTTTTAATATTGTCAAAGTATTAGAATGTTGTAGGAAAATTTTCAATATGTAAAGTTTTTATTTATTTTTCAAAAATAAAAAATACAAAAAAATAATAAATATGTTTTTTTACAATAATGAAAATTAAGAAAATTAGATTTTAAATATCAAAATTAAAACCATTTTAGTCAAAATTAAAAGATAACATATAATTAATTGGTATCATTTTTATAGGCTTTATAGGGGTGCTAATCATTTCTCATGTGTAACAAACTCTCAAACCCATACTATTTTCGTAGACCCAAAAAATTATCTTTTTGATAAAGTTTTAATTAATTTTAAAAAATTTATTAAAATGATAAATTTTAATATGTGGCCAATCGCACTTAGCCAAAACAGATTGGTGGCAACTTCTTTTTTTTTTTTTTCAAATTCATATAACGACCTCAAAAATTATTACGACAGCTTGACGACTTCACTGGAGAAATCATTTTCGTAGAGAATCAAGCCAATGCTTGGTATTTAAATACTAATGTATTATCTTTAGTTTTGTTTTAATGGTCTTAATTGGTATTTAACATTAATTTCCTTAATTTTAGTTTTTTCCTAATAATAATAATAATAAAGGAAAATGAAAAAATTGCATTTCATTTT